TCGACTATCTTTCAGTTCTCTTCGTCTCCTATGCTGTACAATTGTCTTGAACGAGGAGCGAATAATAGGAGAGAGAGAGAGAGAACTTGTGAAACGAGTACTTCATGAAGGGTTGCGAGAGAGTGAACCATCGTGGATGGATAAAGCGAGCACGATGAGAACATAACGACTGCATTCAGCTCTCGCAATGATCCGTATTATGCAAAGACTTAACGAAACTTATATTTGAATGTTGAAATGTGCCGGACGACATTTCTCAAATTAAGCTTCCAGGAGCATCATGTATTGTAAACATTGTGCTATGAAATGTAAAATTTTACGTGTCGGTCGTTTTATTGAAATTAATGGCATGATGTATTAAAAAAAAACACGCAATAATCTATACTTTTTTCGATTAACAATAATCAAAAATCTTTGAAATTAAATTGTATAATTTATATCTAATCTTATAAGAGATGCAGAAAAATGTTATATTTTCTCAATTATATCTTTATTGGGCTCTCAGTGCTCGTTACTTAATTATTATGTTGTTTAAATACATAGAGCCGAATTATATACCAATTTATTTAGAATTACACGTGGAGCTAACTATCGTGTTCTCATTATTTCCACCGATTAATAAAAACGTACAGGAGAAGTATCGGTGTGGGGCTGAATAGCTCAGTGGTAAGAGCAGTCGCCCGGCAAGCGAAAGACTCGGGTTCGATTCCCGATTCAGCGACTTCGCCCCGATATTTTTCCTGTCTACATCTCTCCAGGGGGGTAAAGGGGTTGTTATAGAAGTCTCAAACCAAGAGAATCTATAACTTGGCATATGTGCATATGTCTTAAAAAATTTTTCGCGAACAATTAATGTTCGTAAAAATTTACGCATTGCCATCCGCGTTTATTGGGCTCTCAGTGCTCGTTACTTAATTATTATGTTGTTTAAATACATAGAGCCGAATTATATACCAATTTATTTAGTTATATTTTCTGTCTAAATGAAAAATATATATTTTATTAAGAAATTGTATTTCTCTTTATTTATTTCTTCAATTATTTTAAATTAGATTAGATCTATTTTATACTTTTTCTGTAAAAATTGAATTTTATACAGAATTTAATTTTATACATAATTTTATTTATGTGCAGAATTTTTCTTCGTTTTAAGTATTTAGCATTAGAAATATATTGTATAAAGATTAAATTAAAACTCTGTTAAAATTAAACCTACATTCGAAATTACTTCAGCAAAAATATTTATATATTTATTTATTTATCACGCATTATTAAATAGTGTATCATTGCATTATATTATTGCATAATCCGAATAACAAAATTTTGTATATCATTTGCAAAAGATTAGAACATCATTAAACGAATGTGCATAATAATGCGAGTAGAGTAAATCCGCATATGAACATGGCAATGTAAATTTTTTATAGGATTTAAGCTTACTGGTGTGATAAAACGTATTAAAATGCATACAAATTGCAACATTCTTTTGAATGAGCTAGTGCAACAATTTAGAGTTTGCTCATAAAGTCTGTAAAGATCTCTACAGAGAGCAATTTATCGTTAAATCCATCAAAGAACGATGGGTAAAATAATCCGATTTTAACGATGGCACTTTTCTATTTTTAAGGATGTTTTTTTTTATATTTTTTGATGTGCTGAATCATTATCAAACATTAATTTCTAGATGATATGATGAGAAAATAGCGAAAATCGCATTCAAAATAGCAGATTTGTAGGGAAATTTGTAGAAACAACGAAATAAAAAATATATTACGTTTTGTTAATCTTATGTTTAATCATAATAGATTACAAAGTTTTCAAATTAATCGAAATTTATCAATTTGCCTAATCTTAATAATCATAATTCACGAATCTCTATCTATAACTATAATTCATCAAATAAGACAACAAATATCGATATACTCGATATCGATTTTCTTTATCATGTGTAGACGATGTTATAATTTGACAGAAATTTTCTAAATAACATATCTAGTGTTAAATCATCTGACGATAATCACTCAATGTTAAAGCAGTTATTAACATAGTTTGATTTAATCTACGATTATATTTCTTTTGTCATCATTTCATAATCATATACGATTTTTAAAATCATGAATATAGATATCAGATATTTATTTTTCATGATAACACGATAAGTACTTTTCACGTACTTACTTTCATGATACTTATCTTTCATGATAACATATCAATATTTATATCAAGTAAAATATATAGACATAGACACAATTTTATCCATTATTACGTGCGTGTTTGAATTATGCCTAGTTATGTAATTTGTACTTGATTGAAAAAGATCTTTCTATTTCTCAAAAGTCATTCTATAATAGTTATTAATATTTCTGCTACTGGAGAATTTTAAATATATAAACGCTTACATAATATTGCACAATATTGCACATATATTCGATAAAACAATTTCAAGAGGAAAATTGTGTTTTTGAAATTAATTTTCTCTTGCATAACTGGGACCAATTATTACATCAAAAAGAGTGTCGTTATTTATTGCTACACAAACTCGCATCCGTATAAACTAATTATCTTCTAGGTTGAACCGCGTGCACCAAAGCCGGTGTAAAATATTAAAAATAGAAATAAATATTAAATATTAAAAATTAAAGAGGTTAAAAATATTAAAGATATTAATTATTACAAGAATAAAATTTATTACAGTATTAGTGTGGACGGTGATGAGTTACGGGGTAGAGATATGGAGATGGAAAGGGAGAGGAGGAATGAAAAGATTAGAAGAAAGATATTATATTTAAGGTGGACTTTCGGATTGGATAGAAGAACGCCAGGGTATATGATAAAAAGAGGAAAACTAAGAGAGAGAGAGAGAGCGTGAAAGGTAGCTTGGGGATTTGAGAGGAGACTGGAGGGAGGGGAAGCAAAGTAACAAAGATTATGCTGGAATGAAATGAGGAAGAGAAGTATGGAAGGAAAGGGAGGATCAAAATGGGAGAAGGAGAGAAAGAAATTCTTTAAGGATAGGGGATAGAGGGCGGAGGAAGTAGAGAGAAGAAGAGATGAGGGAGACATATGGTTTGGGGAGTTGATTAATGAAGATAGGGAACAGAGATTATATAGAAAGATAGCAGAGAAAAGAAGAGTCTAGATATAATAGGTGGTATAAAGTAATTAAAGAGGAAAGAATTCCGGAATATTTAAAAAAAAATTGAAGAAAAAGCAGATGGAGAAGAGTGATAAGGTTCAGGCTAGGAAATGAAATGAAAGAGAGTACATATTGAGAGGAAGAAGAAAAGAAAACGTGTAGATTATGCGAAGGAGAGATAGAAACATGGGAGCATGCATGGGAGAGATGTAGTGAGTGGAAAAACGGGGAAGGGGGATGGCAGGAGATGATAGAGGGAGTCTTAAAAAGAGAGGGAGAGGGAGAATGGCGAATGAGGGAGGTGAACGGAGGGAAGGCACGAGAAGAGAGAAAAGATGATAAAAAGAAAAAGAAGGAGAGGTATAAGAGAGAATGAAAAGAAGAGAAAGGGAGAGAGGGACAGGAAGAGGAAGGGAGGGGAAGAGAGAGAAAGGGAGAGAAAGAGAGGGAGAAATGAAAGAGAGAGAGAGAGGATACGATCAGGAAGAAAAGATAGAGTCGGAAGAGAATGAAAAATAAAGCAAGAAAAAGCAGAAGTCGAGAGGGAAGATGTGTGTATGCGTGTAAATATAGTTCGTTCGTTTACCTCTATGTGACGTGCTTTGTGCTATCTTTCTCGTATTTAAGTTTTAGTTATGAGAATTATGTAAAGTTTGTAAAAAGTAACAAATAAAAATATACTGTTTGATTTAATTTCTGATCTCAATACAAGAATTTCAGATATTAAATTGACTTTATAAATTAGATAAGTAAATGTCCAGCAAATAAACGAAAATAATCCGTTCATTACCGATTTAAAATGTAAAGTGCAATATGCGAGTATAAATTTTATATGAAATAGATAAATTATATTATTATTTAGGGATTAAAACATGTCCACCAATTTCATAAACAGATATACCACAGAACGTCCGAAGAACGTAAAACGGATCATCTGTGGATATCCTCAATATCGTTAATGATCATCTTATGGATGTCTTTCGAATATTTGTATGCTGTCTGGGAATTATAATGTATATATATATATTTTTGTTTTAATATCTTGCTTTTATAACTTTTAATGTACATAATTTTATAATGAATAAATAAATGGATTAAATATGCATAGATATACATATGCAAATCCTATAAGTCAATATTATATAAATATTATGCATTAAATATTTATTAATATTCAGTTGATAAAGCTTTATCTTTCCCAGCATCGTTAATTTTCTTAACAATAAGAATAATATATTGATTAAAACAGCGGACAAAGAGACGATTTTTTTATCTTAAACATCACATATGAATGTCACATCCTAAGACACGTGACAAATGTAAATAACATTTTATCGTACTTTTCCAAAGGAAAAAGTAAAAAACTTATCTATTATCTTTAAAATTGCGATATTATAAACAAATAATGCATAAGTTAATTTTATGAGTTGTGCAATCTAAGGAATCCAACAAATTATATAATATTGGATTCTTTTAGAAGTTTTAACATATACATATATATAAGACATTAATTCAAACTCTAAGGAGTGTCGAATAAAAATCATTAATTCACATAAGATATGTATATAATATATATTTTCATATAAGATATATATATAAAATCTATATATTGCAATGTATGTAAGATATTTGTTATCATTTTCCTTTAAAACTATTAACTTACTATATTTAGCATAAGCACCGTCATCTTCTTTTATCTTCATCATGTTCTGTTATCTCCATCGTCCAATGTCAATTGACGATTACGATTTGCGTTTCATTGTGAAATTATCATTAATTAATGTTGACAAACTTTATCCAACTTGAAATAAATTAGGAAGTCTGTCAGAAATCGAGTTATTAGATGTCACCGTTCGTCATCATTTACAACGCGATCATCATCATCACGACGCTAAATAAATAGAATACTTATGATCTGCAATTTCCTGCGAGAGTATGCAATTACACTGTTACCAGTATAAAACCTGTCTTCTATTCTGGCTATATCATTTCGCGTTTGGTCTTCGTGAAGCGGCGAGTGCAGTGTGAGCATTAAGTGAAGTAAATTGAGAGGAACAACTTATAAGTAAGTGCACAGTTATTTTATTTCCTTTCTATCAATGATCAATCAAAGAGACATAATTGTTTGTTTATTTCTTGGTTAATTAAAATAAAAAAAAATATTATGCAACCATGGTAAGCCTTCGGATAATTATTATGCTTCGAAAAGAATGGTACAAATTTATACTCTGTAATATAATTACATGTGTGTGTAAGTTTAAATAATATAAAATAATATAAATAATATAAAAATCGCTAGAAATACAAGGTATCTCAGAATAAATACAAAGTATCTCAGAATGAAACAATCAAATTGTGCCAAAGCATATTCTACAAATAAAAATTGAAAAAATGATAAGTATATGTCAGACTAAAAATGTTTCATCAAAAAGCTATCACAAAAATATAAATATGAAAAAAAAGAAAATGAAATTTGTTAGTGCGCAATAAAAGCGCAATAAAAATAAAAACGGATCAATGCTGTTTATTTTTATTCTGTTTAATTATATTGTTGCGCGCCCTCCCGAATCGTTACGGCCTTGCCGTTGTCTGGATCTCATTGACAAGAAGAATGTTGATGAACAATGATAGTCAACTGAGTCGGAGAGTCGAAAAACAGCCGTCGAGCTGTCCGGACGCGTTTCCGTTTAAAAGCCATAATTATGTTAATAATCCGTTGTGTTAATCTGTTATTAGTGTGTTCTGTATTTATATTAAAGTTTCTGTGTGTTCTCGAAAAGTGTTAATTTATTTTACGCCATCCGCGACAGCCCTTCTCTTAGTGCGCGTCTTCGATAAATCTCGAAGTCATCGCCCTAGGCGTAACATTTTGGGGACTCGTCCGGGATATTGTGAGCAAAAGCGATGACGACGATAACTGCGAAAAGGAGAAGACGAGAACAATTGGAACCGCCATCGGAATTGAAAGCGATGGAATCGGCAGCGACAGAGTCGACGGCTCTAAAGACTGTGTTGTTTGAGATACGGCGAATGCGCGAGGAAATCACCGCAAAGCAGGACAAGAAGCTGCAGCTTTTGCGGAGGAGCCGGTCTCAGCGTTCACTAAGTCGCTGCAATATTTAAAAATATGGCTAAATCGCACGTGGTCAGATCCGAATGCGTAATTTTTTTTTTTTAAACATTATGTAGAAAATGTTTCCTTTTTAGAAAAACTCTTTTAAAAAGAATGAACTAACGTGTTTAAAATTAAAGCGGACTCGAATATATCTTGAATAGAGGATACCTCTTTCATTAGAATGCCTGGATGACAATATTCGTGACTTCGGGTGTTCGTTTAAATAATGGTCGTATTGGTTCAATTATTTCTTTGAATGAATTGTTATTGATAGAGTAATCCTCGAAATATTGTGGAAGGGACTCCTAAATTATTTTGATTAGAGAATAGTTCTATATTCCGAGGCCCGAAAGGAGAGAGTTATGCATGGAAAAGTTTAGTGCTTGTTACTTGTTTTATTGTTTTTTGTTGTAAAGGAAAGAAATTTTGGAAACGCGTCGGAGAGGTCTACTGTGACAAACACTTGAAGAGGAGATCTTAATTGAAGACTGCCTCGCCCACGGTTTTTGAGCCAGAGGGCGAATGCCGAGGCAGGAATTTGAGGAGTCCTTTTAGGACGATGGATCCACAATGAATACCCTCCTCTTGTCCGAAAAAAGACAAGGGAAGATAAGGAGAGAAAGATTTATGCTGAGCACGAGGGAGATGACTAGAATGGGGGCTGTCCTGGAGTCGATTCTTGAGAGTCTGGCCAACTCTCTGAAGGAGTCGATTGGGAGTCTGCCCAGTGGATTGGGACCTGGCCGGAACGATGCTCGGTAACCTGGAGCAATGGGTCAGGGAGAACAGGATATCGTTCGGGGTCTCTGGAAGTCCGCGAGGATTAGTTAGGTTAGGTTAGGTTAGGTATCAAGCCCGGATTAGTTAGGTTAGGTTAGGTATCAAGCCCCTTGCTGATTGTTGGGATGACAATCTTGAAGGAGGGACAGTGTTACGCGCGCTCCTGAGTCGTTACGTCCTGCCATTGTCCGGATCCCATTGACAAGAAGAATGTTAATAAACAACGATAGTCAGCTGGAGTCGGAGAGTCGAAAAACAGCCGTCGAGCTGTCCGGAAGCGTTTCCGTTTAAGAACCATAATTGTATTAATAATCCGTTGTGTTAATCTATTATTAGTGTGTTCTGTATTTATATTAAAGTTCCTGTGTGTTCTCGAAAAGTGTTAATTTATTTAACGCGATTCGCAACAGCCGTTTTCTTAGTGCGCGTCTTCGATAAATCTCGAAGTCGTCGCGAGACGCCCAGAGTGAAGTCGTCACGAGAGACCCAGAGCGTAACAATATTCTGTTCTTATTTAATCTATTTATTCCGTATTTGTAATTAGTATTTGAAATCATATCGAAAATGTGTCCAATTTTGTAATTTATATGAATATCATTACTTACATCAATATCAATACAACTCTATATTAAAATGATCCCTAGTAGCACAAAACATTGACAAAATATTAGTATACTTTGGCTCAATATTGGAAATGTCTTAGCCAATATTTCCCAATGTAAAACTAATATTGGATGTTAACAAAATGCAAGTGTTCTGCCAATATTTCAGTGCCCATGATGATCAATAATGGCTACAAAAAAAATATAAAATAAATGTGTTGCCAATGTGATTGCATCCATGATAATACCAATATTGGTTATGAAGTAAATGTGTGCCAATAATACCAATATTGGTTATTAAGTAAATGTGTGCCAATATTACACGTTCACATTACATGTAAGCTTCGCGCGTTGCCATTAAAAATATTTAACGCTGTTATGCGTATTAAATAAAGTGAGAGGCCAGAGGACGGGAAGCATTGCCTCGTCGCCAACTGTGGAAAGTGAGAAGGAGGCAGAAAACAATATCTCTATTTTCCTCTACTATCCAAAGCTAGCCGAGACAACGTTTCCGTTTTTCACAGTACGCAGTTTACGCCTGCGCGCGTCATCCTTTTCTCTACGGTTGCGTTTTGCTCGCGTGGGCATTCTAGCATTATGGAACGACGGTAAAGCGAGCGAAAAACGACGAAAAAGGGATGACGAAGGAAACTAGAAGCTGGAATGTAGGGGAGAAACAGAGAAAGAAGGAAGCGAGTTGGCTAGAAAGAAAAAAAAACGTGATAAATCTTATCGCGAACAATAAATTATCGTAAAGAATCGTTTTTGATTTTCGTAACATGGCGAGAAGAATTCGCCGGAAATGATTCGCCGGGGAAATTCTCTAATTCCAATTCCAATTTCAGAAATGGTCTTAGAAACATCGACATGGCTGAATCTGTGCTTCATGGAGAAGGTCCTGAGAAAGTCAGAAAACGACAATTCCATCCAAGTAATCGATATATTCTCGAAACCGGCCACGAATAAGGGTGACAATTACACTAGTGACATGATCAGGGTTAATGTTGAATTTTCACGTGACCAAAGCGGCCGTAAAATTACGGAAAAAAAATCTGTCATCTTCAAAATCATGCCTTCAGTTGAAGGTTTTCGTAAGAATCTTGTAAGTTTACTTAATTTATACATATTTATATAAGTAAATAAATTAAATATACTAGGACTGTAAATTAATTTTGAGAGATTTTTTTGTAAATTCAAGGCTTTATTGTATAAAATTGTGTACATTATTATTTTTCAAAGTATTGTCCATCGTTAGCCACTACTTTTTCCCATCTTTCTGGCAGCATACGGATTCCGCGTCGAAAGAACAACTCATTTTTTGATGCTATCCATCAATCGATTCAATTTTTCGTATCTTCGTAAGATTGGAAGCGTTGCTTAACCAGGCCATGTTACATGGATCGAAACAAGTAGTAATCCGAGCAATATCTGGTGAATATGGCGGGTGGGGTAAAACATCCTATTTCAGCGTTTCTAAGTATTTTTTGACTACACGAGCAACATGTGGTCGAGCGTTGTCATGTTGAAAAATTACTTTATCGTGCCTTTGCTCGAATTGCGGCCGTTTTTCCTTCAATGCACGGCTCAAACGCATCAATTGTGTTCGGTAGCGTTCGCCAGGTTTCATTCGATTGAAGCAGCTCATAGTACACAACACCAAGCTGGTCCCACCAAATACAGGACATAAGCTTCGAACCATGAATCGGCCTTGTCGTCGATGTTGAGGCGTGACCAGGCAAACCCCACGATTTTCTACGCTTAGAATTATCGTAGCGTATCCATTTTTCATCGCCAGTGATGATATGATGCAAAAAACCCTTTCTTTTTTGCCTTTGAAGCAATTGTTCGCACGTGAAAAGTCGACGTTCAACATCTCTCAGCTTCAATTCGTATGGCATCCAATTTTCTTGCTTTTGAATCATACCAAGTGCATTTAAACGTTTGGAAAATGTTGTGCGATCAATATTCAACGATTCAGCAAGTTCATTTTGCGTTTGACATGAATCTTGGTCGAGTAATGCTTCCTCATTTTCGAACTTCTTCGATTGACCAGGGCGTTCTTTGTCAACTGTATCGAAATCACCACTTCTAAAACGTTGAAACCAATACTCACACATTTTTATCGATGGAGTATGTTCATCGTAAGTTTCCAACAACACTCGATGACTTTCAGCAGCACTTTTCTTTGAATTAAACAGGAAAAGTAAAACTTTCCGCAAATGGTGTTTTGTTGGCTCGTAATTCGACATCTTCGAAGTTGAGAAAAAATATGTTGTTTACACTTCAGCAAAATGACACATAATAAAAAGTAAAGCCTAATGACAAAGCTTTAACATGAATATAGTTACAGATGCGATATAGCATAAGTTACGCCATTTATTGTAAATCTCTTAAAATTAATTCACAGTCCTAGTAACATATATATATAAAACATAAGTAAACAAATAAATAGATAAAGGACAAATTTTATTATTTAGTTTGAAATTATTTGGTAATTATACAGAAAAAGGGCCCATCTTCGTACAAATCTGTCATTGATAAATGTTGTCAAGGTCATATCTCTAATTAATATTCTGAAGGTTTTAGCCGACGGTTTTAGCCGATGGTCGTTGTTTATTAAAGAGTTATTAATAAAAGAATTTCACAATTTTAATACTTTTTATCTGCAAAAGTATTGATTTAAGAAAAAAAATTTTAAGCAAATAATGAGAGGAATCAATTGGTGTAAAGAAAACATACAGTTATTTTTAAGAAAAAATATGGAATTGTTAATTGCAAATTACATATTTTTTCTTAGAAACAACTATGTGTTTTCTTTACACCAATTGATTCCTCTCATTATTTTGTACATAAAAGTATGAAGGTAAGATAATCGAAAAATGAATGGTTTACTAGATATTTTATGGTTTATGTAAAATTAAGAAATTATTTCAAGCCTTATAACTCAAAAAGTACTTAATAAAAAGGTACTTAATTATAGTGTTTTGGAAAGCTCTCGAGATAAGCTACAGGAATATGCAATAAAAAATAGGGGTTCCCATTTAAGATTTCAAACTTGCCCCTCCTTACCGCCCAGAGGGAGGAGTGGGGGGGCTGATTTTAACGTCATTGTACGTCCCCCTCGAAATGACGAAATTTTGATTCTAACCATTTTTTCGTAGTGTGCTTATTTTTCGAGTTATTTGGCTGCCTAAGTTAAAATGGGTCACCCTGTATAAATTTAAATTGTTTACCTTTTTTTATTTATCTTTAATTTTTTTTATTTACCTTTTTTCCGTTTTTCTTCGACTTGCGAATTCGACCGCTATTTTTAAGTTTCATATTTGTGTTCAGGAGGTAAAAATACGTAGGACTTGGGTATTCTTACCCATTTCATATAGATGAGTTTTCCGAAGGTTTATCTTATTTTTGTATTCATTATTTTTATTCTTTTTGAGTTTATATCTCCAAAACTATTTGAGTCCGATCCTTATATATATATATATATATATATATATATATATATATATACGAAAATACTCGGAAAATCCCCTATAACATATTTAAAAATAAAACAAATGGGTGATCAAATAAAATAGAATCTTTATGCCAATATTTCTCACATTTATTTGTTAATAACGTTTGAATAAAGAACGACCTCCGGCTAAAACCTTCAGTTTGTTAATCAGGGATAACATCTTCACAACATATGTCAATGACATATTTGTGCAAAGATGGGCCCTTTTTATGCATAATTACCAATTATTTAGTTCAATTTCTCATAGACATTCTCATGGAAAAATATTGAAGAACATATATCTTAAAAATAAACAAAATAAAAGGCTCTCGAAATTAACAAATTAAAATAAAATATAGTAAAAAGCCATAAAGAGCCAACGCAGTTGTAAGGCGTGTTTTTTGGAAAAAAAAGTAATCCATGAAAACGATCACATTAGACGATCTTTCTTCTTTATTGACAAACGTTTCGGACTCATTTCGAGCCTTCTTCAGTGAATCTGATAAGATAAAAAAGAATCAAATAAAATAACAATAAAAACGCAGTTCTTAATAGAAAAGAGAGGAAAAAAATTAGTCATCATACATGTATAAAGAGTCTTAGAGAGCGAACGTGAACCCGTCAAGGCAAGTCAACCCGAAAGAAACCAGATGCAAGCAATCCTTTGAGCGTTGCAAGGCGCAAAGAGCAATGCACTAACAAAATAAATGTACAAGATATAGATGTAAAGCCTTGCAATAATTATAATTAGACAAAGGCAACTCACTCCCACTCGAGAAGACAAAACAGAAACGGACACGAACACTCAGCGCGCACATGGTCGACTAGGCAAAAAGATTCGAAAGCTAATGATAAAATGACGTCAAAATGTGATCGACAAAAACAATCCAAGTATACACTGAGGACAAGAACAGTCCTAACAAACAACAAACGATTAAATTTTAGATATGTTTTCGATTATCGATAAACATGAAGTATTCAATTTTGACGTATCGCTGTGGAGATTCAACGCATTTCTTTGACGCTTAATATAGATCATCTCCGATATTAATCTCTTTCCCAAAAAAGTTTCTTCATCCAAAACCTCAATGTCGTCAAAATTAAACGTATGATCTAACGCTCTGTGCTCGGCAATGACGGACGTAAGATTCCTTTTATGTTCCTTAATCCTCGTCCTTAATAAGCGTCCCGTTTGTCCCACGTAAGAAGCGTCGCAATCTATGCAATTGATCTTATATACTATGTTGCTGCGCGAGTCTTTCTCCAAATTATCTTTGCCGACTTTAATAAAACGGCACAAATTATTTATTCCAGTGTAAGAAATTTTGACATCTAGATCTCTGACGCAATGCCGAAAGCGCTCAGATATGTTCTTAACATACGGAACATTAAAATATGAGATCCTCACTCCTTCATTAACATCGTCACACACATTCGAATTTACAGTCAAAGCGTCATTAAGTCTATTGTTAAATCTAGGTAATAAAATATTAAGTCGGTCAGCAATGGTATGGAAAATAAAAGAGAGAGGATACCTATTATTCAACAGGATGTTGATAACAAATTCAAAATTCTTTTTATGAAATTTTGGATGAGAAAGCCAGAAAACTTTATCAGTTAGACTAATTATCGTATCCCTCTTCTGGCAAAGGGGATGTCGCGATTCAAAATGGAAGTATCTCCTCGAGAAAGTCGATTTATGAAACCAGTTAAAATGAATCAGTCCATCTTCTAAAATGATAGTGACGTCAAGGAAATTCAAACGGTTGTTGGCACCCTCCTCCATAGTAAACTGCAGCCTTGTGTGGAACGAGTTGAAAGTGTCCTGAATGGTACTGAGCATTGAGGAGGGAGCCGCCAACACAACGTAATCGACATATCTAAAATAAAATGGGAGATCCACAGGTAGAATCGCGATGGCCCTCGACTCCAAATCTTGGAGCGTGATCTCAGCGATAATCGGCGAAATAGGAGAGCCCATAGGCGTGCCAAATGTTTGTTGATAGCAAACACCGTTGAACATAAAAAATGTAGAATTCAAAACGAGGCGAACTGCCGTTAAAAATTCATCACGAGGTATCTGACAATTCTTTCCTATATAGTCCCATCTATTCGACAGACTGTCAATCGCCAAGTCCAACGGTATATTCGTGAATAATGAGATGACGTCCAATGAGATCAGTTTTACATTGTCATCGATACGTTTACCATTTAGTCTATCCACTACTTGAGTACTGTTAATAATTTGACTGTCTGGTCGTGGAATATATTTATAAATGATATCATGTAAAAACTTGGCGAGACCATAGAGCGGTGTGTTCTTAGATGAGACTATTATACGCAACGGATTATTTTTCTTGTGAATTTTCGGCAGCCCATAAGCCTCGGTAAAACACCATCTGTACAATTCAAAGATTTATATTTCGTAATGGAGATGTAATCTTGTGCTCTCCACCTCGCTAAGAGATCATGCAGGCTGCTAATTAATTTATTGATCGGGCTCTTCTTTACTACCCTATATGTGTTTTTGTCAGCTAACAAAGTCAACATATTAGAGAGATAGTCGTCCTATCCAACGCGACTGTTATATTGCCTTTATCAGCTCTAGTGAACAAAATATCTGGATTATCCCTTGTGAATTTTTTGGCAGCGTTGAAAGACTTCAGGATAAATTTATCAAAAGGAGACTTATGTGGAATAGAATTATGAAAGCTATTTATTATAGAAAAAGATCTATTTCTTACCGTCGTGCGAACCTCTGTGGGTAACTTGTTGATATTATATTCCACATTTTTTAATAAGTCGACAATAGTTCTTTCCTTGTCAATAGCTGGTAAACAAAATTTCTCTCCCAATTGTAACAGGAGTTGTACTTCCTCTGGTATGATCGAAGAAGACAAATTGACAAATCATTCGCTTCTTAATTCTAAGAAAGGAGAAACACGTAGTAAGAAAGATAAGGGCTCAAGGTCGACACAAATAGGCGAGGAAGAAGGTCGAGGGTTGAGAAAGGAAAAATTCACACTGGTGGATTCAGATAAAGGTTGACCAACATGAGGCGTCAAATCCGTAGATTGAAAATTTGGAACCGTACAAAAATAACAAATAGGACGAATATCTCTCCGCATTTCTTTAAATTGCTTCTTTAACAGCCAATTAAACTTCTTATCCAATTTTATACTTTCGCGGAGATAAAAAGCTCGCTGAGATCTATTTTGTTTAACAAAAAAATTATTACAGACAGATATTGGTAAGTTATTAGATATGGAACCAGAACGTTAGATCATACGTTTAATTTTGATGACATTGAGGTTTTGGATGAGAAAACTTTTTTGGGAAAGAGATTAATATCGGAGATGATCTATATTAAGCGTCAAAGAAATGCGTTGAATCTCCACAGCGATACGTCAAAATTGAATACTTCATGTTTATCGATAATCGAAAACATATCTAAAATTTAATCGTTTGTTGTTTGTTAGGACTGTTCTTGTCCTTAATGTATATTTGGATTGTTTTTGTCGATCACATTTGACGTCATTTTATCGTTAGCATTCGAATCTTTTTGCCTAGTCGACCATGTGCGCGCTGAGTGTTCGTGTCCGTTTCTGTTTTGTCTTCTCGAGTGGGAGTGAGTTGCCTTTGTCTAATTATAATTATTGCAAGGCTTTACATCTATATCTTGTACATTTATTTTGTTAGTGCATTGCTCTTTGCGCCTTGCAACGCTCAAAGGACTGCTTGCATCTGGCTTCTTTCGGGTTGACTTGCCTTGACGGGTTCACGTTCACTCTCTAAGACTATACATGTATGATGACTAATTTTTTTCCTCTCTTTTCCATTAAGAACTGCGTTTTTATTGTTATTTTATTTGATTCTTTTTTATCTTATCAGATTCACTGAAGAAGGCTCGAAATGAGTCCGAAACATTTGTCAATAAAGAAAAAAGATCGTCTAATGTGATCGTTTTCATGCATTACTTTTTTCTCCAAAAAACACGCCTTACAACTGCGTTGGCTCTTTATGGCCTTTTATTATATTTTATTTTAACATATATCTTATATATATTCAGGCATTATAAAAATTAAGTGCGAATTATGCAAGCAAATAAATAAAAAACAAACCATTCTTCAAAATTTTATAAAATTTTAATTTGCGATAGAAATCTCATTTATTTATATATATGGCACGAAGAAATCTCATTTATTTATATATATGGCACGTGTGCATTTAATTTGTAAAAAACTTTTTTTCAGGTCTTTATGGTTAATATTACAAATATATAATAAAGTTTCTCTATTTACTCTATCAATTTTTAATAAAAATATCTTACAGGTTGTAAAGTCGCGTGTTTTTTACACGGAAATGTCGATGATGACAGACACCTTGGACAAAATGAACAAGTTGATACAGCCCAAATATCGTTTGAGCGGAAAAGGCATGTACATGCAAGAAGACAATCCAACTTTTTTGGTAATAGAGGATCTTGTGTCTCTCGGTTATCGCTTGGCGTGCCGTCATTCTGGCCTCGATTTAGATCATTGTAAATTAGCGTTGCGTGGATTAGCCAGATTTCATGCAACTTCTGTAGCCATATGTGAGAAGGTAAATCATTACGAATCATTACGAATTAATACGTAATACTTCATTGCGATGACTAGAAATTCACTTCATATAATAAAATTCATAGCATTTCCGTAAGGAATATAAAAGGATACAAGTGATACAATATATGAAAAATGACTTCACTTTCATTTCATTGCATAAATAACGCATAATTTAAAGCAGCTGTAAGATTCTTTCTGTTACTTGGTAAAAACATACAATAATCGAGATAATTAAAAATTTTATAATACACATTAATAATTCTAAAAAAGCATACATACAATGTATACAGGGTGGGAAAAAAGTATGGAAGCAAACAATTATTTCCGAAACTATTCATTTTTCGACAAAATGTCTTAGACATAATTTTTAGTATGAAAAATTTTTGGTATGAAAAGATGTATTATGTGGCATAGACGGCATGACCTTGAAATGACCCTTACGAGCTGCATACAAATAACGTAAAAAATTTCAAATGGAACTTGTCAGTTTTTGTTACAGATTCTTGTAGCTGATGTCGAAACGTTTACAAAACACTGCATATGAGCCCCATTCCCTTAAAAACACTCCCAGTTACGAAACAATTGTGATAATTCGTATCGACGAAATTGAAAATAGACAGCGTACGTGTGATTACATGAATGTGTGTAAAAATTCTATGAATACTCATAGACAGTGTATCATATGACAACAGGTACAATTACATGTTATTAGTGGACGCAACTGAACGTCATGATGCGAAATCAGTAAGCAATGTCAATGTGCATACAAATTGTTTGTATCACAATTGTTTCGTAACTGGGAGTGTTTTTAAGGGAATGGGGCTCATATGCAGTGTTTTGTAAACGTTTCGACATCAGCTACAAGAATCTGTAACAAAAACTGACAAGTTCCATTTGAAATTTTTTACGTTATTTGTATGCAGCTCGTAAGGGTCATTTCAAGGTCATGCCGTCTATGCCACATAATACATCTTTTCATACCAAAAATTTTTCATACTAAAAATTATGTCTAAGACATTTTGTCGAAAAATGAATAGTTTCGGAAATAATTGTTTGCTTCCATACTTTTTCCCCACCCTGTATACATATATACATATATATATATATATATATATATATATATATACATATATACATATATTAATATTTATTAATTTATTAATAATAAATTATTATAAATTTATTAAGATATAAGTCACATAATAAAATTACAGCTTTAGAATAATGTATATTTAATATATTTAATTATATTGTATGTTATAGAAATATTTTCTAATCAATATTAAATAAGATTTAATATTGTATATAAAAATATTATTCTACTTTATTATCGTATTGTTTTATCAAGAATTGTATATAGATAACCGAAACATGTTCTTGTCACAACTCCCTAGATTTATAGTAGCAAATAGAAGTAGATATTTTATACAATAAGCATTGCCAAAACTTTTAAAATTCGCAAAATATTATTTTTAATTATAAATTTAAACAGAATTTGTGTAGACAAATGAGAATATGAAACTACATACAATAAATAGTTCAATGATAAATTTCTAACAAAGAATAACGACAAAATTTAACATTCTATTATAACTTTTATTGCAGCGCGTGTCTCTCTCTTGGTGTTTAGTTAAAAAACAAAATAAATAAAGATTATAAAATCTTAGGTGCTTTTAACAAAAAAAATGTTAACTTTCAATTTTAATTTTTAAATTCTTTTTTCAAAAGCTATATTCTACAATTTTCAAATTAATGAAAAAAATTTTAATCAATTAAAAGTCAATATTTTTTCAATGTATTCTACATTAATATAAACTTTTCAAATGATAAACAATTAAAAGTAAAGCCATTTTAACATATTAGACATATGTCAACATTAAATATATCACACATTAAACATATGTCATGGACAAATAAGTTACGAAACTTTGTATCTTTAAATAAAAATCTTAATTTAATATTAAATTAATAAGATATTTTATAAAAAAAATTGCAACAGTTATACATTATGTAATTATGTAGTTATCTTAATCAGATTAACTATAAATTTATTAATTGCTATTGAAACTATCGCGTATCATAAAAATTTGTTTTATTTTATGGCTGTAGATGTAGATAAATGATGTAGATTTAAAATTTTTTTTTTAAATAATACTTTTATTTAGGAACCAAACCAAAAAGAAATGTATACAAGAGGAATGTTTAACATCGTACAAGCGAGTGAAATGAGTGAATTTTTTTGTAAGGGCACTAAACAATTAGCAGAAGAAATGGAAAACTGGCCAGGAATGAAAAAGTAAAGTTTGCATATAAACACACAAAAATCTACAACAACATTTGTTATATTTTATTTAAGATAATGTTTTCCAATATGTTAATCATAATATAGTAAAATAATATTTAAAGAGAGAAAATATTAAGCAAACTTAACACATTAACAAAAAGCATATATAATTATAAATATCTTGCTTAGAAAATATATTAAATGTTAATTTTATAATTATATGACTTTTATTATTAGATACGCCAAAAAAATTGCTAAATTGGTCGACCACATATATAACATAGGAATAGATATGTGTAAATTATCCGAGAATGAGTTCAATGTTATCAATCACGGTGATTGTTGGGTGAACAATATGATGTTCAAATATAATGATGATGGCAAACCTATTGATCATGTTTTCGTAAGTATCATATATCATAAAAGATCATGTAGTTCCTCTAAACGTAAAAATTCATTGATTATTTATCATTCTTTATATTCAGATTTAAAAGATTCGATACATTAATTCATATAATTAAATATATACAATATATACAATATTGTATATATACAATAAAATTATAGTTTTTAACATCGACACTGTTGTAAATCTTTATATCACTTTGAACATATATTTTTTATAATTTAAAGAAATTTAAATTATATATACAATATATATATGCATATAACGAATAATTTTTTCTGGAGAGTACAATTATTAATATACAACGTGTATTTCAATTATCCACATATACAAGCTATGAAATCGATTGAAATAAAAAACTGATGACAATATGCGATACTTCAGAATACAGCATGTTATGAATAATGCAATAATAAAGTTAATCGAATTGAAGTATATCCGCTACTTGTCTGCCCGTGTCACTCGCTCAAATCTCGATTGCCGCGACTTCCTAAACAGGAAACTTGCTTTTTTCTCCATGCACGGATTTTATTTCCAATTCAATCACTGGTATTTTAGAGCTCAATCGATCAAAAAAGTTGGTTTGATATTGCAGGTGGACTTTCAACTATGTTTCTACGGATCGCCGGCAATTGATCTTCTTTATTTCCTCAACACAAGTCCTTCCCAGGATATCTTTAAAGATAATAGGGATACTCTGTATAACGAGTATCTTGATACTTTGTCGACGACTATGAAACAATTAGATTGCAAAACTCAGCCACTCACTAAGGAGGAATTGAAGGCCAGTATGAAGCAAAGGGCTTCCTTCGGAATGATAATATCAATGACGGCATTACCGCTAATGCTGTCCGATAAGGATAAAGCAAAAGATTTTGATGAGATTATGAGCAATGATGGCTATACTCCGGGTTATAAGAATGAGAATTATAAAAAAATTATGATGAACAAAATACCTATGTATGATGAATTGGGCTTATTAGATATTTGACTTAATTTGTCATGATATATGATATTATTATGAATGAGCATAGAAAAGCATCACGCAGAATCTAATATGAGACAATTTTAAATTATATTATTTTAATAATAGATTATGATGTGAAAATTATGAAAGTTTGGGTAAATGATTACTTTAGGTTACACAGCTCGAAAAATTTTTATTTTCACATTTGTTGTAGAGGATACATTCCTAAATAATATACTATTTGAATTTTGTGGCGGTCTCTCTTTGTTCCTGAGATATGCGATTTTAAAATTTTATACTTCTATCATCTTTTCGTTACATTCTAAATATGTTTATATTTTTCTGTTTACATTTACTGAGATTATCTTTCTGAATAACTTTTAGAAGGTTTTATCCTTGTTATTTCAAATTATTATTTTCAAATCGTATTAGCGCATAGAATGCGCAAACACCGTTACAAATAATTAAAGCGCTTCATGCACATTGATAAAACAGAACAATTTCGAAGCGCTGCGCAACAGTAACGCAGTCTATGCGTTACATGCGTAAATCGGAACGCACCCTTTGATATGTGATATTTTGCTTCACATGGTTCATATGGTTCATGAGTTCATATAAGTTTGCAACTCCTACGAAGCCAGGTATATTCCACACTTTAGACACGGGTTGGGTTAGGTTATATCTTCCGAAAGTGGAACTTCCCGTAGGTGAGGGCGGAACATGCGGTGTTTACGCATGTGCTTTGCAAAACGAAGGAAATTATATACAAACATTTATTAAAAGTTTAGGTAAAATAAAAAGTACGATTTTTATTTAGCGAAACTAAACAATAATTCTACATAAATAACGTAAGATTATGATTGCGCCTGAACCCAATATTTAGACAAGGGAGGTAAAGTCATGGGAGGAGCGACGAGGTAAACTGTGAGCACTTTTCATTGGATGAAATGATGCGCGTGCGCAATGACGTTTAATACAAAATATATTGACGTCTCTATTCTTATAAATAATTGAAAAAAAGAAGAAATAAGAAATTAAAAAAGGAAAGTAAAATATATTTTTCAATACAATGGAAAGATACCTCCATAGAAAAAAAAGTCACAGTGACATCACACAAGGCTCACAATAGAGTCACTATGTCACAGAAAAATTGTGATGTCACTGTGAGATTATTAGAAGATTATAGTGATGTCATTAATCACAACTGGTGTGATATATGCCATAATATAAAATAAAATGTCACAATGATATAACTAATATATCACAAAATGATCACATGTAATACAATAATGATAAGAAATAAAATATCACAATGATATAATTGTCAGCTTATTTGGCACATGCGCTAGTTTTGTACATATAAACTGGATACATTTAGTATATAGAGAGCTCGGAAAATTACTTTTCGCGTTATGTCATAGTTGCTGCGAAACATTTTCTCAGACACCATTTTCTCAGGACAATTATAATTGTTCTGATTTAATCCTTAAAATTATATGAAAGAAATTTATGAATGTTGTTTTAATAATTATCGATAAAGTTTCAATAAGATATTTTAAATATCACTTTAATATACATATATCATCGATTAATATAGAGATATTTAATTATGGATTATGATAATGTTAGGCAAAAAACATATTTCTTTTTGGAGATTTTTTACAACTTTTACCTGTATATGAGTATCCGTCTTTTATTAAATTATCAAAATTAGAAGTTGAGAAATATAATGGTGCAATGGATTCTATAATTTTATGGTCTTTATCTTTTTTCTATTATGATAAATTAATATGCGACAACAAGGAGATAATTCTTATTGAGATATATTAACGAAAGTTCAAGTCGGAATGATAACAGATTTAAATGTATCTATTTTTTATAAATGGGAAAGTAAATTTTAGAGAAATTAATTGTGACGGTTTATTATAAGAATGATGTAATTATTTGCAAAACATACTTAACTTATGAGAGGTCTTGTAAATGATACAATTGGTACATTGAATTACATACAATTAGTACCATAAAAAAATACTACTGCTTAACTTTTATTTACTACACAATTTTAATATTAAATATTTAAAAAATGATTACTCTAAAAGTTAATAAAGTAAAAGCTGTTTAGCAATTATTATAACTAATATTGTCTACTATGCAATGATGTCGATTGACCATGTTATTATATTTACGAAAGAATAAGTAATGCAGTAATTCAAATATGCGTATATTATGCTATTTTGATGAAGTGCTATTTTGATGAGTTTTGAGTATATATATCGGAAAATAAAGACAGATGTGCTATCAATTTATTGAAAAAATTGAGAGAATATAATTGTTATGTTTCCTTTATTTTGATTCCTCTTTCTCTTCTGTCTTTTTGTTTTTTTTTTGTTTTTTTTTTCATGTGAAATTGCGCCATTTGAAGGTTACAATAATTTAAATACTAAAAAAACGTTGGAAGAATTTTTTCAAAGATTCTAAATTATTTATACCATTTTATTTAGGATTGTTAGTAATTATTTGTAGCAATTTTAATGTTATTTGTAATTATATTGCTTACAAATTATGTTATATTAATAATAATGTATTATATGAGTGTTTATTCGGATACATTTTGTATCTAGTAAGAAGATATGAAATAGAGAGAAAATACAGAAACTAAAAATATAATAATTACAGTATCGATTATTTTAATAATTTACATCTAGTTATTGTTTAATATTTTAACGCTGTTAAGGCAACGATATAATCAAATGTCGTCTTATCATACTATTAATGTACATACATGTAACGTTAGCACGCTATATCAACTTGGGATCTATATAATAGTTAACGTATAGAATTGTCACAGTTTGTGATCATGGTCGACACTATAGAAAAGATTTTAAAACCTTTTTTCTTAATCCTTTGTTTCCATGGTTTTGGAATTTTTAGGAATAGCTATAGCTCGAGTTATTTAAGATTTTGTTTGAACATCTCTTCTATATTAATTCCGTTGAGTGTCTATGCCTGTGCCGTTTATTATATGATAATTATCCTTCCAACAATTAGTTTTGGGAAAGGTTTTTTGAGAATTTTTTTAGAAATGATAAATTTATCTGTGACGATAATATCTATAATCACCACCATTTGCAAACGTGAGGTACACATTTTTTCTTTGTAAATGTCTTATTATAACTTACTGTATTATTTACAGTGAAGTAAATAACAGGAAATATGATTTCTCTACATTTAAAATGATTTTTATTACTCGTTATCTCGTTACTAGTTATCTGGTAAAATTAAATTAAATTATATTTTATAAAATCTAATTTAATTAAATATAAAATAAATAATCTATTTCTTTATTTATATAATGTATATAATACATAATTGGTATAAAATAATCTTATGTTTCTCAAATAAAATTTTACTTTCACTCATTGGATCCTCAGAAAAATCAAAATTACATATATTTAATTAATAAATTTTGTTTTGTATATATCTTATATATTTCATATAAATAAATATAATATATATCTAATGAGATTTTTGACACACACACACACAATATGCACACATAACACACATATATCATTACTAAATATATTAATATATATTTTATGCACATATCAAGAAATACATTAATAATATTATATATTTTCTCGTTATTGCAATTCTTAGAAATTCTATATGTGTGTGAGAAATCTCGGTCTCGTAGATGATACATTGGAACTGCTTAGAATACCAAAGGAATATTGTAAAATGCGAAATTCGATAAAATGGATATTGATTATATGGTTTACGCTACTTTGCATTGGATGGATATTTAATTATATTTGCTACATAAAAGAATTTCAAGGTGCAAGAATCATAGTTATCTCTTGCATTTTGTATTATTTTTTCCTTCTCAATTTATTGATGGATATAATGATTATATTTCTTTTAAGGTTTGTCACTTTTAAGGTTGTTCCTTTTTTTGAAATTATGTAAGCATTATTGAAAAATTTGAATAATTTACTTTTATTAATTTTTAAATGTATATAAACTGTGTGTAAAAATGCTATTGTAAAAATGTCACAAAAGATATTGTATTTTTATAAAATAATATAGGGTGAATTTAATAAGAATTGAAATATGCTCCTAATTTGTGACATAAATATAAATAAAACAGTTCAATAAATATTTCATATTCTTGAATGTTTCTTTATTTCTTTAAATTACAGATACATTGGTACTAGATTCGATAAAATCAATGAATGTATTGAACAATTATCAAAGACAAAAAAATGTGGATTGAGAGGCATTTGGAAAAAATCTCCTATTAATCGCTACTATGTCCAAAGCTGTAAAAACCGCAAACATATATTATGGATTTTAATGTAAGTTGATATATTTTAAAATGAAAATCAACAAAATTGGAGGAATTATTTTAACAAAAAAGATAATTTTATTAATCTGAAAATGTATAAATATGTTGCATCTTATTGTATTACATTTTTATTAACACAATTTCTATTTAATTTGTGGTAATTTTATGTATCTAATGAAAGAAATCTGTTTTTTCTCAAAATTCATATAATTACAAACTTTCAAATTCTTTTAATGTAAGCATAAACATTAATTTTATTGAACGTTATGATAAAATAATTATTTCAATATAATTAATAAATGTGTGTGTGTGTGTGTGTGTAGATATTTAATAATTCCTGTGACTATATACCTCTCATCGTACTTAATATTAAATAAATAAACATTGTATGCATGCACTTCTTAGAAGAATTAGATCAGTAGTTATATTTTTCTTTTTGACGTTTTTTAAATATATTTATGTAATAATATAATATTTTTTAGGCATCTTCATTTGGAACTTTGCCGAATAGCTCGCAATATAAATGATTTTTTCGGAACAGAAATGACCTTACAGACGATATACAAATTTGTTGTTTTTAACGCAATGATTTATTTAGAATATCGTATATTATTATGCTTTACTAAAGTTCATGAAGATAGTGAAGAAAGTAAAGCAATATTCTTAATTATGACAATATTCATTAGCGCAAATTTAATGAATTTAGTAACAATAAATTATATTTGCGAAAGCGTTAGCATCAAGGTAAGCTGTCATGTAATTTTTAGATAGATTATTAAAAAAATTATTTTTATGATATGTACATGTATACAATTTTCCGATTTGATTTGATATTTAATCTCTCCAACAAATAATATTAAATTTACTGTAACTTAGTAAAGTATTTAAGTTAAAAAAAAAGAAATAAATACTTTTCATTTTTTAAATAAGGAATCTGAGAAGATTTTATTCATAACGATTAATAATTTATTCACATAAATTAATAATTTTCGAAATTCATATAATTATTATGAATAAAAATATAATTCTTAAGTAAAACCAATTTTATCGTAAAATTAATTTTATATTATTTTAGGCGAAGAAAACCATGGACATAATTCATAAATTAACAAACCTTGTTTATTTTGATCAGTTACGCGAAGATGTAAGATAAATCTCCTGTCTAAAATCTTTCGATTTTAAACAGCTTTTATTAATCATTTTTAAATAACAAATATTATAATCCAGATTTGCCAGTTTATTTTTCAATTATTACTTCAACCGTTAAAGTTCGATGGAATGGGTTTGTTTTGCTTTGGGTACAAATTTATTTTTAAGGTTAGTTTTTCATATTATTCATATTTATATAAGAAAAAGGTAGTTTTGAAGTTAGGCTTATGTAAAAAAATATAAAATAGCGATAATTATATATTATTTGATATTTGATACTTACTTTCAGTTCATCATGGGAATTATTAGTATTATGCTTTTTATGGTTGGAATGGATACTTCTCCTTTATCTCGGGATTTACTTTCTTACAAGAGTAATTTAACATGTTTCGAGTAAATGAAGAAATATATAATTCTAGAGAAGACTATATTATATATACAGGGTGACCCATTTTAACTTAGGCAGCCAAATAACTCGAAAACAGCACTCTTTAGAAAGAAATGTTTCAAACAAAAATTGTAGGGTGTGAAGGGGGACATAAGATGGTAGCATTGGTTTGACCTTGGAAAGTCATTTGAAGGTCACATAAAAGTCACCTTCAATTTCTTAAATTGAATCCACTATTTTTCATTACATATTCTTGTAGCTTATCTCGAGAGCTTTCCAAAACACTACAGACAAATGTTTTTTCATTAAGTACTTTTTGAGTTATAAGGCTTCAAAGTTTGCAGTACTTCGATATAAAATGCAAAATATCTCGTAAAATATTTAGTTTTCGGTAGTCTTACCCTAATACTTTTATGCACAAAATAATGAGACAAAACTATTGGTGCAAAGAAAACGCATGATTGTTTATAACAAAAAGTGCATTGCAAATTACACATTTTTTATTATAAACAATCATACGTTTTCTTTGCACCAATAGTTTTGTCTCATTATCCTGTGCATAAAAGTATTAGGGTAAGACTACCGAAAACTAAATATTTTACGAGATATTTTGCATTTTATATCGAAGTACTGCAAACTTTGAAGCCTTATAACTCAAAAAGTACTTAATGAAAAAACATTTGTCTGTAGTGTTTTGGAAAGCTCTCGAGATAAGCTACAAGAATATGTAATGAAAAATAGTGGGTTCAATTTAAGAAAATGAAGGTGACTTTTATGTGACCTTCAAATGACTTTCCAAGGTCAAACCAATGCTACCATCTTATGTCCCCCTTCACACCCTACAATTTTTGTTTGAAACATTTCTTTCTAAAGAGTGCTGTTTTCGAGTTATTTGGCTGCCTAAGTTAAAATGGGTCACCCTGTATATTATATCTCAGTTTGATATCCGTATATTTTAATTATTACAGTGTTAGTTATAAACAATTATCGTTCATAATTATATCGACATTATTATATCATTATATTATATTAGTATTTTATTTTATGCATTATATTAGTTATGCATTGTTATATTTATTGATTTATCTTATTAATTTATATTATTTGATGTTTTTTTATATATATTTGAAACAAAAACTTTTTTGAATATTTATAAACTACATTTATTTTATTAATTATGTAATATAAGAAAAATCCATTTTAAGAATTTTATTTAACAAATAAATCTGTGTATACATTGGATATGCGAAAACATTGACTTTTCTATATCGTTTTCAATTAATTAAAGAATATTGTTACTTGTTCACCTGTCACAATTCTACTATGAAGTCAAATATTAACTAACGATTATCTTAAGCTATAAGTTGTGTAGCTATCATTAGCACTAATATTGATATAATAATATAGTTAACGATATAGATTAATTACATAATTACATGTATGTATATGTTTGTGCAATTAAATGATGTATAATGTTAATGGTTAATAGTTACTAGTTAATAATTAATAGTTAATAAATATTTTTACTAATTAATACTTATTAATTATTAACTATTATTCTGTCGTCTTGATAAATACTATATTAGCTAAATAAATTCAAAGAAATATGTCAACTTGTTTCAAGAATGCTAAGACTAATAAAGTGATTATTGTAAAAACAAGGTTGCATACTGTTTCTGACTTTTAGTCGTGTATTCGGTGAGAAAATTTTCGCTCTGTAAGCTCTGTAACTCTGTAGCTCTTTAGCTCTTTCTTTTTTTCGCTTTTCGCTCTTTCTTTTTTATTCTACAGTGCTACATAGCTTATAGAGATACAGCGTTATAGAACATTTTTACAGAATAGACCATTATTCTCGATTTAGATGCTCCTCACAATCAGATAAGCCTTGTTTAAGTATTTTCTATGATCTATGTTAGTTTACATAACTAAAGTTTTCTCTATTATCGCACAATGATTATGTTTAGAGAAGAAAAGAAGCAAGTAAAATTTTATTATCTACTCGTACATGCTGATGCTTGTCATCATTGTTGCATTTATTATCATAAATCTATATCATAACAAGATATTCATACACAAGAGATACATACATATTTATTCAAGATTTATAAAAAATTATGATTATATATTAATAAAAATTATTGATTTGCAATTATTGATTATATGTAGGTAGGATCAAATTATACAATAATTTATAATAATTTATAATAGAAAACTCGCAAAAAGAATCACAAAATATAATAAATATAATTAAAAATTAAGTAAAAATTATCTTAGATAAATGATAATTATTATAAAAATTAAATCAAAATTAGCAAATTAGAGCCATAGCACGGTAGTTGGGACACAAGGAAGAAACAACACTTTCTTCTTCCTAATTATTCATATATTTCAAAATAAAAATTAATACATTACATACAATAAAAATGAATCAGTCAATATAAAGTAAATAACAAATCAGTCATTTTGACGACATATGACCAGAAATGACCAGTTTGGAACGTCAAAATGACGTGTGCTTGCTCCCTGGGGTTGCACGTCATAGTACTAGTATAAAGTGAATAATAATGAAATGGCACGCAAGAATTCTCAGTCGTGTTATTTAGGCTGTCAAAACGTCATTTTTGATGTCTTATAGTTGTTTTGCAGCATAAAGCGCTGTATGCAAATTTTTGATATGTAGTTATTTGTTATTGATTTTTTCATGTCAGGCGATATTTAATGCACCACTAACTGTATTTTATTTTATAACAATATATTAATTTTTACAAATATCTTTTTGATTAAAGAAAATATATTTTTGATAAGAATTATTAGATGTTGGGTTAAAAAATATATTGAAAAAGACACAACGATAACTGCATCAGCCGATAACAGTTTTCAATTTTGACTTATTCATTGTTTGAGTTAGCGATAGAACATAGTCATATTGCCAAGTATAAATAATTGTTCTGATATAATCATTAAAATTATATGAAAAGAACTTAAGAATGTTGTTTTAATAATTATGGATAAAGTTTCAATGAGATATTTCAAATATCACTTTAATATACATATATCATCGATTAACAGAGATATTTAATATTATAAATTGTGATAAGGGATAGCAAAAAATATATACTTCTATCCGCAAAAAATATATACTTCTTTTTGGAGATTTATTGCAACTTTCACCTGTATATAAGTATCCATCTTTTATTAAATTATGAAAACTAAAAGTTGAGAAGTATATTGGTGCAGTGGGTTTTGTAAATTTATGGTCTTTATCATTTTTTCAGTTATGATGATTTTATATGCGACAACAAGAAGCTAATTCTTATCGAAATATTAACGATAGTTCGAGTTAGAATGATAACAGACTTAAATGTATCTATTTTTTAGAAACAGGAATGTAAATTTTAGAGGAATTAATTGTGACGACTTATTACAAGAATTATATAATTATTTGCAAAGCTTACCAATAAATACAGTTTGTTTATTTGTTTAACTTATGCATTATATGATATTTTGAATATTGCAATGTTAAATCATATTTCTTCGAATAAGATAACACTTGTTGTTAAGATCTGACAGAATGTGTACCATATTTAAAGAAAAAAATTATGAAAATATTAAATGAAGATGAACGATAAAGATAGTTCTCAAATAGCTGGAATTAGCAAGAATCATAACTGTAAAATTAACAACACATATAATGATTAGAAGAAATATCGATATTAATTAGGTCTTGTAAATGATAAGATTGGTATATTGGTACAATTGGTACAATAAAAGAATATTATTGCTTAACTTTTATTTACTACACAATTTAAATATTAAATATTTAAAAAATGATAACTCTGTCAAAATAAAGTCAAAAAAGCTGTTTAGCAATTATTATAACTAATATTGTCTATTATGATATCGATTGACTATGTTATTATATTTATGAAAGAATAAGTAATGCTGTAATTCAAATATATGTATATTATGCTATATTGATTAAGTGCTATTTTGGTGAATTTTGAGCAAATGTATCGGAAAATAAAGACACATGTGTTATCAATTTATTTAAAAAATTGCGGGAATATGATTATTATGTTTTCTTTATTTTGGTTTCTCTTTCTCTTCTGTTTTTTTGTTTTTTTTTTCATGTGTAGTTGCGCCATTTAAAGGTTACAATAATTTAAATACTAAATAAAATGATATAAATAATTAAGAATCTTTGAAACATTACAAAAAATGTTTCAAAGATTCTTAATTATTTATACCATTTTATTTAGGATTGTTAGTAATAATTTTAATTAATTTTAATGTTATTTGTAATTCTATTACTTACAAAATATGTTATATTAATAATCTATTACTTACAAAATATGTTATATTAATAATAACAAAATATGTTATATTAATAATAAATATTAATAATATTATATGTGTTTTACACATACATTTTGTAACTAATAAGTAGATATAAAATAGAGAGAAAATACAGAAACTAAAAATATAATAATTGCAGTATCGATTATCTTAGCAATTTACATCTATGTTATTGTTTAATATTTTAACGCTGTTAAAGCAACGATGTAATCAAATATCGTCTTACTATTAATGTACATACATGTAACGTTAGCACGCTATATCACCTTTAACTTAGGATCTATATAATCGTTAATATGTAGAATTGTCACAGCTTGCGATCATGGTTGACACTATAGAAAAGGTTTTAAAACCTTTTTTCTTAATCTTTTGTTTCTATGGTTTTGGATTTTTTAGGAATAGCTCGAGTTATGTAAGATTTTGCTTGAACATCTTTTCTATATTAATTCCGTGGAATGTTTATGCTTGTGTCTTTTATTATATGATAATTTTTGGAGCATATTCTTCATTCAAAAATTTTTTGAGAATTTTCGAAGTAGTGGGAAATTTTTTTGTGACAATAATATCTACAATCAACATCATTCACAAACGTGAGGTACACATTTTTTCTTTGTGAATGTCTTATAATAACCTACTGTATTATTTACAGTAAAGAAAATAATAAGAAATATCATTTCTCTAAATTTAAAATGATTT